TCTTGCATGGGCGACAACACAAAGTGTGTGTCTTGATGCCCACACTCTTCCTTTTAATGAGTGCAGAGTGGGCACCTTCTCATCGGCCCCTCTTCCCACCCGCCCCTCCTCTTCCCACCGGGCCCTGGCTCCTCGTCTTCCCACCGGCCCAGAAGGCACGAAACAAAAAAAGCCCCCCCTCTGGGCTTCTCACAGCCGTCTAAGGTCTTTTTTTGTTTTTCTCTTTTTTCAACGGGGAAAGAATTTCAAGATGTTTTTAAAAAGTTACCAGGGGGGCCCTCGCGACCCCCCCTACCATCCCTGGGGGTCAAAACCCCCCTGGCAACCCGTCAACTGGCCCAGGTACGTTCGGACGGGAACCCAAGCTTGGCAAGTTCTCTACTTCTTTTTTTTGTCCGAAGAGGCTTTATTATACATGCCGGGAAATGGACCAGGCGTCCCTCAATTATGGACGAGGCGTCACTGGCCACCTTGAGAACTTGCCAAGCTTGGGTGCATTGAAAAAAAAAACAAAAAAAAACGAGAAACCTGCAGGTCGGGTGCAGCTTCTCTGCTCTCTCTTGGACACAATTGTGGCTGCTACGGGGTTCCCCTTACGACAGTCACTATACTTGGGAGTAGTGGTAGGTAGGTAGTGTGAGGTGAAATTGAGAGAAGAACGTAGCTTTTGAGGGGGGGGGGAAAAAAAAAAAAACTTTTCAGTGTTCTCACCTTGAAATAACCACCATTCAACGACGCTTCACCTGTGCCGGCCATATGTCCGATTCGCAATGCTTGTTCGCCGGAAGACCTAATCAAACCACAGGATGATACTCCTCTTGCCTGGAACATCAGTCAAAAAAACAACAAAAAGCTTTTTAAAAAAACATTAAAAAAAACATTAAAAAAAACAACAACAACATTTTTTGGGGGAAAAAACAAAGAAAATTCTTCACCGTCCACATCGATAATGAACGTCGTCTATTGATGCGGACAGTCAACAAGCAGGCCAATTCAAAGAGCCCTGGGTAACTTAGCCAAAAAAGAAAGGGGAAAAAAAAGAAGTTTCAATTATGACCTTGGAACCTTCGGAGTCGGTACTCCTGAAGGGGACTAAGGCCGAGGGGCCACCGCCTGGCAGCGCCCTGTATATAGCTATGAGAGAGAAAATGATAGGTATCGAGGAGAGGACGTAGGCTAGTGATACCACACTGGAGGGGTGCAGTGATCATCTGATGGAGGGGTCGGTGCTTCAATAGCTATAGTTAATAGACACTGTGGTCATTACAGCAGTAGCCATAGCTATAATTATAGCTGTGTCCCTGGAGGTTGCCACTGCAATTGTCAGGCTGTAGACACTACTGCCACTACTGAAATAGCTATTATAGCTATCATAGCTATGTCAAATGGAGGTAAGTACGGCTCTTGTTGAGCTATAGACAGTGTTAGACACTGTGGTCAGCATACTAGCTAAAGAAGAAAAGCCCAAACTTTAAGATAGACAGCGGGAGGGGAAGGGGGGAGGGGGGAGGGGGTTTGAGCGTGGAGGAGGAGGAGGAGGAGGAGGAGGAGGAGGATATGGCTTTCAGCTCACCTGATTGCTGTCAATCCCAACTGCTCGCAAAAATCGGAGTTGGGGGATAACTGATGAAAGAGATGTGGGCTCCAAAGGATTTCCCTGCAAGACACAAACAAGACAAAACACATGCATGTTGGGATCCCATGGCAATAGAAGTGCCCAGACTCCAGACATCACACCCAAAACCGCAGACACAGGGCATCGCCACACCACTCTCGAAATGTGCAAAATGAGAATGAACTTCCCGCTAGAACACAGCCAGATGCACCCTCCATATTTTTGTCTTTTTCACCTTTCGAGAGTGGTGTGGCCAGGACCACAATGTTTGCCCCGACTCCAGACTCCAGATTCTCTATGTATGTATGTCCTGTACACCCGACGACAAAAAATTGGCTTTCCGGGACCATCGGAGGCTGGTAGCCAGAAAGAAGCGGAGGTCGGCGGCAATTCAAGCGGAGGTCGGCCTTTAAAAAAAAAAAAAAAGCGCAAACTTTGACGATTTTTCACGCTCAGAAGAACAAGCCAAAAAATCTGAAATTTTGGGATCCGTATAGACTTGGTCGTCATTTATTCGGGAAAAATATAAAAAAAGTGAAATAAAATATTTTAGACGGTGAAATACTCGCCGCGCCGATTCGGTGCATTTTCCGTTCTTGCTACTCTGCCACCTGCCGGCCACTCTACTGGTATTCGGTGTATATATCGTCACAATATATATATCGTCAAAGTAACTACATTTAACTTCGGGGGACCTGTGGGGATATTGATTATGCTTGGAATAATTAATTAATTCAACAACAAAAAAATATTTCCCACTCCACTACAAAACAATTTGGACCATTTCTCAGTCAATGCCTGTCATCCTTTTTTTTTTTCACAGGACCCAGTGCCCAAGGCTGATTTTACAAATAAGAAGACTTTTTTTTTTTTTTTTTTTTTTTTTTTTGAACAAACGCCCAAATAAGAAGATTGATGCCGGGGTCCTCACAGTCTACCCGGAGTGACCGAATTGAACATGCCGAGAACCGGGCTCAGTGTCCCTCAGATGATGATGATTATGATGATAATCATGATGATGATGATGATGATGATGATGACATCCTTGCGCAGGGGCCATGCTAATCTTCTTTGGTCGACTGAGTGAAGCGAGGTCACCGTGGTGGAAAGTCAGAAACACGGATATTCAGGAATTTGACTGGTTCGAATTGCGACGCACTTACACGAAGCCTTAGGCATCAGGGATCCTCCTACCACATTGTCAAGTCTTTCGCATTCCAATGCGAAAAGTACACAAGTCCGCCACTCGAATGCCTGATGTGCGTGGATGCCCGATGTGCGCGCGGATGCCGAGTGGCGGTTTCTGACGTCTTCGGGAACAGAGAGCTGCCTGATTTATGGCATTCGACTCATCATCATGGATGATGTGTCCATCTTCATTCGATACAGAAAGGGTGACAGAGGGCCTCTCAACAAGGCAGAAGCCGCAGAACGCAGCGCATTCGTAGGACCTAAGTTCGAGAAATGCTACCCTACCACCAGTACTTCCTAAAGTAGTCCCCGATAACAAGCCACCATTTTAGGAAATGTATGGGTCACTTGACTCACTTCAGAAGTGACCAAATTCATCCGACTAGAAACGTTTCTAGGCTATTTTTTCTGCGGCCGATAGCTGGGCCAAGTACTGGTGCTTTAAACCACCAGTACTTGGCCCAGCTATCGGCCGCAGAAAAAAATAGAGTAGAAACGTTTCTAGTTGGATGAATTTGGGCACTGAGTCTCCTGTAGTGGCCCGTACGTTTCCTAAAATTGCGTAGCGTTAACGCTACGCGACTTTAGGAAGTACTGGTGGTTTAAAAAGAACTGATGAGGGTCTGGGGTCCTGGGAACTCCTGATGTGTTCACTGATGGAACGGCAACGGTACCCTTATCCGGGCTGTTTCCAGAGGACTAAAAATGAGACTACGCCTGCTTCGCCAGCTACGGGGACATTGTTGGCCTCAGCTAAGGAAAGAAGAACATTGAGGTAGGAACTTGGAAGGGGTGGGTCCTGTGAGAGCAATAGGGCACACACACATACACACATCAAAAAAAAAAAAAAAAAAAAAAAAAAAAA